TATACGCACAAACATAAATACAAATAAAGCATCCGTAATCTCCGCCGCTCATACAATCCCAAACTATCACCAATATATGCACACACAGACACATATATACACACAGAGCATCCGCCATCGCCGTCGTTGCCGCCGCTGCCCATACAATCCCAGCCCATCACCAATCGCCGCCGCCTCCACTCACACAATCAAAATCCTAACCCATCACCATTCGTGCCACCACCCACACAATCCCAATCGCTGCCGCCGCAACCCACACAATCCTAATCCCAACCCATCATCAATCGCCGCCGCCACCACAACCACCACTGTCCTAACCCATCACCAATCTCGTTGCCATAATCTACAAGACTCATTGAACTCTTCTTTCAGCATCTTCAACTCTAGTTTGAGAATCTCGCTTTCTTGGCTGCCGAAGTCTATGACACCTTTCAGTTTTGTGTCTACCCAAACATTGTTTTTATCATATGTTGCCGGAATCTGCAAGATCCATCCGCCGCCATCACAACCACCACTGGCAATACCATCCATCGTCAAATTCTGCGAAACCCATCCGTCGTTGTCCTCGGAGTGTCATCAGAATCTACAAATGTCGGAGTCAGAGTTGCGAGTCTCTGTTAAACCAGTGGTGGCCATCCTCGAAGTGTTTGTTGCTGCGTCGTCTGAATTGGACGCGGGGCCGCTCTATCAATCTGATCCAACAAAGATTGATATGATAATCTGATATGGATTGATATGGTAATCTATGACTTCTCCTCCTCTGTTTGCTATAATTATGGAGGGGTAAAGGGACGAGAGAGAGAGGCGAGTGTGTGCGCGTGGGTCACTGGGTTGTGGTGGTGGTTGGTGGGTGAAATAATAAGGGGGTATATATGGTAATCTGATAATTGAGATTAAAAAATTAGGGGCAAAAATGTCTTTTACATATTTTTAACAGATTCTGTGACGGAAAAGTGAGAATGGACCTAACTGATAGTTATTTTCGAAAGATATTTGAAGGTGATATTTGGCTAAACCTGAGGGGGTGTGGGTGAAATTAACCCTTTTAACTTTATTTCTTATCCTTCACAACCCAACTCATGGGTTTTTCTTTCTCTCTCCTCATTTTTTTTTTTCCTTTTTATTTTCTCTTTCAAAAAAAAATTTTCCTCTATCTTTTTCACCATTTTTTTTGCATTCACCCCACCACTTCCTTCTTTTTCTCTCTCAATTTTTTATTTTTTTTTCATCATATTTTTTCCTCCACAAAATAATTCATCACTGATAATAGCTCATTGGAAAAATATTTAGATGAATACTTTTGTTAGCTTTGTTAATTCTATCCGTATAGAATGTTAGTATATGCTTTGGTTGTAAGATTGCAATATAAGAAGTGGCATGATGAAAGAGAATGCAAGCACACAAAAACACACACGCACCCCAACGGATGAGAGGACCCGGGTAATCCCGTGCGATCTCCCTCTGCCACACAAAACTTAAATTTTATTATGCGTGACCAACCATGCAAGCGCACTTGCTGTGGCCAAGGTCCAATTACAAAACATTAAACTCATTTATCTCTCTCTCTCTATATATATATGTATGATTTTTTTTTTTTCTCTCTTTCGGGTGAAGATGACACTGCCACATTTCCATTGTCATGTGTCTTATTTTCGCTTCAACTCTGAACTGTTCATCACCGTTCCTAACATGGAATCTTTATTTCTATGTGACATGGAACCACACCATTGAAGGATGGCCATAAACCGATTATAGATCTTTTGCTATCTGCTTAGTGGTGTAGTGCAGAGAGGAAGAGAGCAAAATGGATTTATCACTACACTTTCTTTCATCTCCAACTTTAATCTTGTTTTACCGAGACCATGGCAAATATTTCCATCTTCAAATAATTCCAAGCTCATTGCTTCGAAACTATGAGTCTCGATCTTGAATTTTCTATCTCATCGTTTCCAATTCCTTCTTTAATAGCTGATTTTTTTTTTTTTTTTCCTTCGCTATATCCTCAAGATGCTTCAGTACTATACCTCATGAATTTAAACAGAAAATCATTAGAAAATTCCTTCAAAGCATTCAATAAAAACATCTTTCATTTCCTACGGCGTTCGTTCAATGATTATAATATTTATGTTAGCCCAATATCTTATATTTATGTGTTGACTGAAGCAATTGACAGTTACGAAATATTTCAATAAATAGAAGTAAAATAATATATATATTTGAATACTGTATTATTACAAGTAGCAGAAGTTCATTCACCATAAATTAAAACAATTAATAATTCATCACCAAATAAGAAATTACTCCAAATAATATTATAGAGGTAAGAGATAATGTTATCCATAATATAATGACTAGTTCAATAAAGTTCCCTTTAAATACCACTTAAATAATAATAAAAATAGCACTAGCCGTTACATTATAAAACTCAATTGAAATATCTGTTACACTATAATTTTTTTAAAAATAATATTGCAATGAAGGCATATATAATTAACATAAATGATAACTCTAACTGCTCATAATAATATTCAATTTAAATGGATATACATCTTTATATTTCCACTTAATGCTGCTATATAACTACTCAAGGTTGTTGTTTACTTTATATAACGTGTATATATGATGAAACAGTAATGGCACATTTTAATAAAAAACATTAGTTACACATTGTTCACGTATTATATGTCAATATATATAAAAGGAAAACAAAAGATATAGTGTCCCGTAATGAATAAATTATAGAAATAACAATAGCATCTGTATAGAAAGAATATAAAATAATGACATTCATCAGATCATATAAAGGAAAATAATAATTCTCAAAACAGTGATTTTTTTTTTTTTTTCAATTATAAAGGGAAATTTTTTTTTTATAGATGCTCCTTCCAATTATAAAGAAAGAAATAATTCCAGTTTCCAAACCTCTATATCATTCCAAATATAAACAAGACAATTCTTCCAAATATACTAAAACCATTGAAAAAATAGGATTAATTACAATGACACCCCCTGAAGTTTGTCATAATAACACTCATATACAAGTTAAACCTCTGTTCCTCCATGCCGGGCTCTAATACCAAGTTGTTATGTGCAAGAGTAATAGACCGAGTTATAGGACGATGTGTTAAAGGTTGATTGATTTCCTGGACAGATTTCTTCTTTCGCCCCCCAAAGAATAAAGCCAGGAGAAATGGTTTGCATCGAGGGAAATCAAGACCTCCAAGTTAGATAAAACTAACTGATTGAAAATGAAAAAATCAGACACTTTTATTGAGCACCCATATTTAATTTATACAGATAAGCATAAGTACTTCCTACTAATTAGGGATAGATAAACAACTTTATAGACACTTCAATTAACTGATAAGATTTATTCTAATTACTTTTACTAGCTTTAACAGACATAATCTTTATTGTTTCTGATACTAAGAATATAACAAAATACAAGGTTTCTCTCAAATACCTTGTATTGACATAAAGAGACATACTCTCCTACAATGGATTTAATCAAATTTCTATTTTCACTTTGACAATTTCAGTTAGTTGAATATGCATATGTAGGTTATGTTTCTGAATCCACATAAAGTTCGATCATAAACAAGATACTGATTAACTTGTAGCAAAACCGCTATATCAAGGCGACCTATGAAGCAAATAATAAATTACAACTTATTTAAATCACTTCAGAATACTCGCAATTCATGAAGCAAGTCAGGAGTGCGTGTAGTTGAGCTCTATGGTATAACATTCAAGAAGCTAATGCATGATATTAAAACTCAAAGATGTTCCATGCTGAAGTAATGCAACAAATATGCATATAAGGGAGAGCAATTGATTAGAAAGGAATTGACTTAATGTACTAATAAGACAGTTTTAACCTATGCAATACTATTTTCATACACACAAAAAATATTGTACTTTTTTTTTTTTACTAGATTTTTATCTCACTGGCTTTTTTCTAACAAGATTTTAACGAAACAATTTCTTAATGAGTACAGTGAATCCCAAGGGAAAGTATTATACAGTATGGGGTCCACCATATTGTTTACTCCCAGCAAGTCATATGTAAAAGCGATAACAACTTGTGCCAAGGCGGTGAAAATTGTGATAGGCCTAGTGATATGAATGAATTGTATTAGCCCATTGATGTATATTCATTCTATTAGCCAACTAATGTCTATGTTCTTGATTGGTACACTGATGTGGTAATAGAAGATTGGTATGACGATGCAAAGACTTCGTGGGCCTCGAAATTAAAAGCAGCAAACGAATGCGGCATTGTGTGTGTATATATATATGTATGCTAGGATATTGTAATGTGTATCCTTTTCAGCAATAAAATTTCCTTCTATTTTTCTTTTGGTAGGTCTCTTATTATATATTTATAACTGATGCTCTAACCACTTGAGAAGAAAACTCTATTTTTCTTTTTCACACCAAAAAGTAAAAAAATAAATTATATTTTAGCAATTTTAATATTTTAATAATAATAATTATTATTATTGTTGATGTTGTTATATACATGTACATAGAAATGCAATATTGTATAAGTATTGTTTATTTTTCTTTCGGCATTCTCATTATTAATTTACCATATATCATTTTTCGGTTTCATTTTCTAATGTTATGATCATTTTAAGATTGGAACATATATCATTTTATTTATATGATTCTAATTGTGTTGTTTTTATCATTTATAATAGAAAAAAAAAAAAAAAAAAAAAAGAAGAAGGAGAGAATTAAGATTTGATTGAAGAAAGAGAATGCTATTTTTTCTTAAAAGGAAATTAAAGAAATTTAATGAGTCAAAGAAAAAAGAGGTAAGAAACAATATTCATAATTCTTCAGTCCCTCATATAGTAAGTAATTAATTTTATTTTTTTTCTCAAAGTGACTCGTGAATTTAAACTCTCAACCTCCAAATATAAAGTTAGAGTCTTCCCATTACATTATTAATACTTCAAATACAACGATCTTTGTGGGACTACGAATAGAGAAAGTGGAAAAGTGAATTGTTAATGGAAAGTGATGCATAATTAGATTAGGTCATTTTCACACATTACACCCCATGACTCATTTTTATTTTTAGTCCCCATTACTCTCATTCGTGAACTCAAAAACTACTTCTAAAAAAAAACAAAGAAAAGAAAAGAAATAGAATAGCCTTTACCCCTTGTTTTACGAGGTCTCTTTTTGACCATCCCTTTCAGTTCCTCTGCTTCTACTTGTACTAGTACCAGTACTAACGACCCAAGCAGCTATACACTCACTCACTCTATGGCAATTTGATTTTCCAATTGCAATCCCTAAGCTTCCTTCAATTCCTATGTAGCTTTCACTTTCACTTTCACTTTCACTTTCACTTCTTCTGTTGATGTAAAAAGCTAGGGATCTGGACCACAATTTTTCCTTCTTTTTTTTTGTTGCTAAAGATCAAACTAAGGTGAGATAGATCAATTTCTTTGCCTTATAGCTGCGGTTTGTTTAACTGCAACGGCTACACTGTACTGGAGATAGATCTGTTTCCCTTCAACTCTAAATTAGGGCTTTTTGCAAATCTTTATTTAGGGTTTTGGCATTGTAGATTGCGAAACATATGAAGCCTATAGAAGACAACTTGGGGTCGTTTCTCGTTGTAGTAGTAGCAGTGAAAGTGATGTTTGGGATATATTACTGGGCATTTCCATTATTGTGATTTAGGTGGAAAGATCGGCTGCTTGTTGTAGTCAGTATTTGCAGAATGAGACTCTCGTCTTCAACTTCAGGGTTCACTCCTCAGCCAGATGAAGGTGACCTGACCTGACCTTTTCTCTTTTCCTATGAATTTGTTTTCGAAACTAACAGTTTGGGCAGTCTTGTTGCGATTCCTTTGATTTTGGGTGTCAGTGTTTGGTTTAATTTATTTATGGAGTGAATAAATTTGGTGCAGGTGAGAAGAAATGTTTGAATTCTGAGTTGTGGCATGCGTGTGCTGGCCCTCTGGTGTCGCTTCCTGCAGTCGGAAGTCGCGTAGTCTACTTTCCACAGGGTCACAGTGAGCAGGTCAGTACTATTCTATTAACGAAACTCGGTCTAAATTTGATTTTTCTAAATTCTTACCGCGTGCATTATAATGCATTGCAGTCCAGTAGATAATTCAAGCTATGCCTTTAATGTTAGTTAGCTTCTCATTTAATTAGTTTTGTCATTGTTTTGGTGGTTGAATCTTCTCTGTTGAATATTGTCCTCCGGTTCTTGAGCATGCTTTATTTATTTATTGTATGGCCACGGCATTCTAAGAATGCGCTTAAGTTTTCTTTCAGGTCATTGTTTTAGTGTCATTCTATAGCCTGAAAGTATTGTACGCAAATTATGTTTAGTATTTATTGTATCCAGATCTCTTGGTGTTTCTGTATACCCTCTGTGATTGAGAATCCTCAATGCTGCTTATGCAGGTTGCTGCCTCAACCAACAAGGAAATTGATGCCCATATCCCTAACTACCCAAGCTTACCACCACAACTTATCTGTCAGCTTCATAATTTGGCCATGCATGTAAGTGCCTTTTTATGTGGGTTATATTTGCCTTTACTTATGAAAAAATGTGGGTTAACTTATAAAGGATGTGGGTTATATTTGACTTTAAATGTTTTTGAGGTAGGCTCCTAAATGATTAAATTTGTGAAGTGCAGGCAGATGTGGAGACAGACGAAGTATATGCTCAGATGACTTTGCAACCCCTGAGTCTGGTACTTATCTGCAAATTTTAATTTATTCATTTTTTTAATTATGAGTTTGATTATCTTGCAATTTTCTTAGTTTAATGATCCTAACTTTTGCGTAGCAAGAGCAAAAAGATGTATGCCTACTACCATCAGAACTTGGTACACTAAGCCAACAAAGCCAACAGCCAACCAATTATTTTTGTAAGACATTGACTGCAAGTGACACTAGTACTCATGGAGGGTTTTCTGTTCCTCGCCGAGCAGCCGAAAAAGTCTTTCCTCCTCTTGTAGGGTACCTTTAACTATGACTATATTATATTTCCATTTTTTTAATGCTTACGAGTCATTGAGTCGTGAACACATCTACAGACTCAATCTATCATTTGACCTTCTATTATTCCTTCAGGATTACTCGCTGCAGCCTCCAGCTCAAGAATTGATTGCAAGGGATCTTCATGGCAATGAATGGAAATTCAGGCATATATTCCGTGGTGAGTTTTTTTTTTTTTTTTTTTTTTTTTTGTATTTTTTTATAAGAAGTCAAATGTCTAAGATTCCCACTTAATATATGAAATGTTCTAAGTTAAAAAATTTGTTTTGTTTTAATCGTTCTAATTTGTTGCTTGTAGTTCTTTTCCTTTGTACTTGAGCACTTCCTTTACCTTGTTTATGTACAACTTTTCATTAGGACAAAAAGTAGAAAAAAGGGAGAAAAAAAAAATGAATATAATGCAACTGCTATAGCTTTATGAGGTAAATAAGTTGAGCTCGAAGGAAGGTTCAGTGACTCATAAAGCTATAATAGCTGGCTTATAAGTTCTAGACAACTAATAAGGGCCATACTTGGTGCACATGTGAATCATAAAAAGTGTCTAAATAAAAATTAATGCTATTGGATTATAGTCAAAATTCATTTTCAATCTGTTGAACCAAGAGGGGGGGTGAATTGGTTAAAACCTTTCTTTTCAAGTCTTCACAGTTTGTAAAAGAAGCACACAAAGATCACTGAAAACAAGGATTGCAAGGAAACCCTCTCAACTAGGGAAAGACCTTGGTTCTTGGCCTCAGCCAATAAAATCAACTACTAGCTGTATGTATCTTGTTACTCGGCTGTCTCACTCTCTGCACACACCCTTGTACAATAATAGACACTAGTTTTCACAACCAATATGCACACTAGTTAACCACAGTGCACACAGGCACTCCCCCTGTCCTAAGCAACCTTACTTGGACCAAATAAGCTCTCACAGCTGACCAAATACACCATAGCAGATGTAAAACAATATAAACAAGTCTTTCCTACAATTGAAATAGGTTAGACAGCTCAAAACTCCAAGTTACTACCTCAAAACACCATTCAGCTGAAGTTAGGGTTTGAGGGGTAAAATTGGAATTTCCCTTCAAGAACAGTTCACCAGCACCTTCCACGGTCTTGTTTCACTGTATTACTCATGTTCATAACTTTAAACAATCAAGAGCAGCATGAGTATATCACAAAGTTCAGCCTCAGTCAATAAACCAACGCGGCACAGTTCAGGTTTAGGGTTTTGCACAGTCAAAACCACAGTGTGCCAATATTTTGTCCCACGGCCAATTTCAACAGCTTTGATTCACCAAAATAAACTTGTTAGCAGCTATGTAATTCAGGGAATAGCTAGACATAACCATTTTGTACTTGAATCACAGATTAAACCAGAAAAACAAGCTTATAGATTGATCTTAGAGTCCAAATTCACATTCAGCATGTTTTTGTTCAAAACTAAGTACCGAGCAATTGTAATAAGCTTGGATATACCTGTGTCAGCCTTCAAATGTAACCACATCAGCCTTGAACAGATTTTCACTACTCAATCCAGCCCTTGCACCAGCAAATTTGACAGCATCAATTTCTTATCAGTTAACACACACACAAGGCTTGAATCAATGAGTTTTTCTGGCTTGGATCATCATCAAACATCACAGAAAAACTTGTTCATATGAAGCTCTTGAGAGTTCTTAGCTGCAGCTCAATATTCAGTGTATTTTTTAGGCTTAAACTCTAATGAATTCTATCACAGTATATATATATATAGAGCAATGCAAATACTTGGCTGCTTCACACTGAATAAATTGCTGTCACCATTTAGCCAATGATTGTACAAGACAGTTCTGACATTCTCTTAATAAAAAGACACTTGTACCCTTGTTACCTCACCACATATTGACACCTTGTGCACCAGTAAATTCTGCTCATGTAGGTGAGGCTGCAACGAAGTATATCCCTTAGCTTAGCCTCTAAGCTATACAATATTAGTGGACGAATATATCACCATGGACCACAGCCACGTGTCACACTCCTGAGCTCAACATGGAAAGCCCAAAAATACCCTTGTAACAGCTGTGTACTACACTCAGCACAATATGGGTACTGAGACTGTATTAATCACAATGCAGGCACAACCACAGCTGTTCAGTGCAATGCAGCTATCTAGGCATACGTGTACACATAGAATATAGCTGAGAAAAGACCATACTACCCCTGGGAACACCTGTAGCTAATTTTCAAGTGCTGAACCTCAATAACCACAGCAAATTCAGCTTGAACAAGCATATGAACTTTAATATACTATCTAAGGCCAATGTGTAGAGTGTGTCACTGAGGAGTAAATGACAATACTACCCCTGTACCTTATTTTAAGCCACAATGCAGGTTGAATACACCCTTGAACCCACTGAAACAAAGCTTTTTGACATTAAACAGGCAAATATAACTTAGGGGACCTTAGGACCAACACAATCGAACTCTAATCGCACTCTTAGATTTGGAGTGTCTTCTCCTTCCTTGTGTATCGCTAGTTGTTAGATAGTTTTAAGGTTTTAGTTAGAATACTATTGGCCAACTTGTCTCCTCTTTTTCTCCTAGGTATTGACATATACTTCATGTTAGGGTACTTTGTAGCTTTGATGGAATCACATGGAAAGTGTGACATACATAGATATGCATATCTGCAAATTGAAGGGATGATTTTTAAGTGTTTTGGTTAGAATTTGGGTTCGTATGCTGATATAATTGAGACAAGCACTATTTTGTTGAGCTGTATATTGAATTTATATACCAGAATATGAACTTGTTGAACCCAATATATTTGCAAATTGGCTACATGGTAGTTGGGTGTATGATATGTGCAAAAACTTGTCAGAATAATTGAACATGTGGTATATGATATATTCTACACAATGAAGCATGGGCATGGATACAATGGGCACGATATGATACTGGTGAGGAGATATGACTAATTCTTTTTTTTTTTTGATAAGTAAACTTCATAAACAAAAGGCGCCCAAGGCGACGCTACAATTTCAAGCTATCTACAAAGTCCAAAAGAATATCCATAGATATACAGTTCCGCCCATTAACCCAAAAAAAAAAGAGAAGGCATAATACTAAACTTGAGAGACCAAATAGGGGACTCCTCGCCCTCGAAGGGTCTCTTATTTCTCTCGTGCCATAGCCCCCACCAAACACAAAGGGGAGTGGCCCTCCAAGCATCTCTGACTCGGCTCTCCACCGTACACCCTTTCCAAGCCTATCACATACCAACCGTTGACCCTGAAGCAACCCAATCCACACCAAAAACGACCAAGAACATAGACCAGATATTCCTTGCCACGGGGCAATGCAACAAAAGATGGTTCACAGATTTTACCGACTTCTTGCACATGCAGCACCAATTCACCACTATATGATGCCTCCTTCTAAGGTTGTCGAGAGTGAGGATACTTCCAAGGGCAGCAGTCCAAGTGAAAAAGGCCACCTTCAACGGAGATTTAGTTTTCCACACAGCTTTCCAGGGGAAGATGGGGCATGAAGGCTCTGTAAGGCAGTGGTAAAACGACCTAACCTCAAACACCCCTCCAGAGGTGCCCAACCACACCATCTCATCCATACCCTCATCTCCACCACCTGCCTATAGATCAATCCTAAAAAATCTGCAACCTCCAAGATCTTCCAATCATTGAAATTTCTACGGAACTGCAAATCCCATGATGCCCTCCCATTATCTAGCTGATAATGGTTAGCAACCGTAGCATGCTTATTCACTGAGATCCTGAAAATATGAGGAAACCTGCAAGCCAGAGCAAAATCCCACACCAATGGTCCTCCCAAAAGCAAACATGACTTCCACTCCGAACCCTGAACTGGATTCGTTTGGAGAACTCAACCCATCCTTTCCGGATATACTTCCAAGTGCCCATGCCCGTTGGTGATCTCACCTCCCTAGAAGTCCACCCTCCAAAATCTTCCCCATAATGGCTTGCAATAACACGCTTCCAAAGATAAGACCTCTCCCTTCCAAATCTCAAAAAGCCATTTACCCATCAGCGCCTTATTAAACCGCTCCAACTTTTAGATCCCCAAACCTCCTTTTCTAATAGGGGTACATACTCTCTCCCAATTGACCAAGTGATACTTGAACTCGTCTCCCATACCTCCCCACATTACTAATTCTTAAAATATAGGATACAGGATATGGCAATGATACCGCAAAACAACAACAATAACAATCAAGCTTGTTTCCTAACTACGCAGGGTTGGCTAGATGTATCTTATGTTTCCATTGTGCTCTATCTAAAGCCATAGCCTTTGGTTAAACCACATGCTATATGTATCTTAATTGATTTTCTCTCATTTTATCTCCCATTTCGGCTACTCCAACCATCTCCCAAATTTGATCATTTCTAATTCTATCCTTTATAGTCTTACACTCTTACCACAAGTCCATCTCAAGATTCACATTTCTGCCACTCACTTAATGCATATGTTGTTAGGGTTGCAAATGAACCGAGCCTAGCCGAGCTTGAGTTTGTTTGGGCTAGACTCATTCGTTTGAGGGCTCAGCTCGGGTTCGTGATGAGCTCGAAAAACTGGGCTTGGGCTTGACTCGTTTAATAAATTTTTTGTTCGGGCTTGATTTGAGCTTGTGTTCAAGATTGTTTTAGTTCGTTCATGAGCGTAAACGGGCCTACACAAGCCTCTGTTCACGAGCATGTTCATGAGCTTATGTTCATGAATCTATACAAGCCTATGTTTAGGAACATATACGAGCCTACACGAGCTCATGTTCACGACCCAAGACGAGCCCAGCCGAGTCGAGTCCAATACTGTTGAAGATCAGCTCGTTTACCAAACGAGCCTAGAAATCGAGTTCGAGCTCAACTCTTTTGCTTAACGAACAAGCCCGAGCCTAGTCGTAAACAAACTGAGCCCGATGTGTTCATGAACAACTCGATTCATTTACAACCCTATCATATTCCTAGTTGCCCAACATTTTGTGCCATAAAGTATGATTGGTCGAATAGTAGTGGTTTAATAGAACTTCCCTTTCAATTTTAAGTGGATACGCCTATCATACTATACACTAGATGCACTCTTCCATTTAATCCATCCTGCCTTGATTCTATGATTAACATCATCACCAATTTCTCCTTCATCGTGAATAATTGAACCTAAATAACAAAAATGTTCACTCTTTTGTACCTCATGATTCTCAATCCTCACTACATCCTCATTTGTATTTCTAGATTTACTATAGTTACACTTCATGTATTCAGTTTTATTTCTATTTATCTTAAACCCTTTTAATTCTAAGGCTTCTCTCCTCACCTCTTATTTGGCATTTACTCATTCTCTAGTCTCATCAACTAAAACAATATCATTGACAAGTAGCATACACTAAGGAATTTCATCTTGGATGTGTCTTGTTAGGTCATCCATAACCAAGGCAAAAAGGTATGGACTTAATGCTGACCCTTGATGTAAGCCTATAGTGATTGGGAATTCACTTGTTTCTCCTGGCATTCTAACTATAGTCACACAACCATCACAAATGTCCTTTATTGTGTCAATGTATTCCATTGTGACTCATTTCATTTCTAAAACCCTCCATATCAGATTTATAGGTACCTTGTGATAGGCTTTCTCCAAATCAATAAAAACCATATGAAGTTCTCTCTTCTTCTCTCTTTATCTTTTCGTTAGTCTCCTCAATAAGTAGATAGCCTCCATCCTTTTAAGTTGACCTTCTCGGCATGAATTTACATTGATTTTTCGTCACTTCAGTCTCTCATCTTATGCATTGTTCAATCACTCTGTCCCAAAGTTTCACAGTTTTGACTCATTTAGTGTCACAATAATTATTACTCCCTCTGCCCCATATTAGTAGTCAATTTTTCCTATTTAGAATGTCCCAAATTAGTTGTCCAATTTGAGAAGTCAAAGCAAAATAAATGTTATATTTCCATCATTGTCCCCTAAGTTTTCAAAAAAATTCAAACTTTAAAAGGATAAGTTGGTAATTTTAAAAGGGAACAATGCAATTAGTTGCATGTCCCCTTTAAAACTTCTAGTACCAAAGATGGACATCTAATATGGGACGCATGGTGTAAAACTTTGTATGTCACCTTTATTTTACATATAGGCATTAAGATACATTTGCACCGCTCATCAGGCATCCTCTTAGTTGTAATGATACTGCAATGCATACATATATATATATGTGTGTGTGTGTGTGTGTATAGTATTAATGTAAATATACGTGAATTTTAGAATATATGTATTTATTTGTGTCAATTTAAAGTAATAATCATTGGTCATATTATTTATATATTGTTACTAATATTTCCTTATAAAAATATTATGACAAACAAGTTGAGAGTTGAGATGATATTGCATACATAAATTTTAGACTAAATTAGTAATGAAATATATTTCTCAATATATAAATATCTTTCGATAGTGCATACATAATTTTTAGACTAAATTAGTAAACTATGGACGAGTTTAGGAAGTATGGGAGATGTATCCGTGAGTATCCAAGGCATGTCAATATCTGACACGGATATGATACAAGTACGTCCCTCTTACAGAAGTCTTCATGAATCATGCTTCAATTTTACATCTTGGTTAAAATTCCCTGTCTTGCCAGTTTTGGAACATTAGATGTCCTTTTTCTTGATCATTACAGAATACAAATATATAAATATATATATCCTTGTACAACTCTTGGGATGCGTTCCCCTT